TATTAAACTTTATTCAAGGCACGACTCAATAACAGCTGTTAATAATATTTATAAAGCTACCATAGCAACTTCATCGAGAAACAGACAACTAATAGATGATCAAAACGCCTGTAGCCTACGTTAAGTTATCATTACCCTAGCATCTCCGCTAACGACAAAACACTTACCTTGATAATAAAACAGGTACTGTTCTATAAAGAACTTGTAACCCTTGTCGAGTTTAGAGGCTGGAGTCTTTGAGATTTTTTCTGCCAGTCTGTGTACGTCTCCTAAATGAAATTTTGGGAGCTTGAGGAGTGACTGTGTGAAATCCATTTTGGAAACACCGTTCAGTGAGATAGCGGAAGCAAAGACGGAAGTCAGGATACCCTGCTTCGCTCCACAACGGAAGTTGTGTGACGTCATGTGAAAAGGGCCTATTCCACTGTAAGTTGTGTCTAAGCAGAGAGACGAGCAGACACTGTGTGTCCCCAGCATAACCGCCCGAAGTACTAAGAGACTTGAACTGAGATTCTCTCTCAAAATGATAAACAGCAGACAATGCTCTAAACAACTCAAAGTGTTTCTGTGCCAATGTTACATGTTACACAAAGTGATAAACATTTCCATATGCTACTGGAATTATCAGGAAAAGATATTAGTAAAGGAAACTTAAGCTTAAGTGTAGATTTAGTTTAGTTTAGTTGATTAAGTTCATTTAATTGCCAATATATATGGTGGTGTAGTTTAATTTATTTTATCACTTGTTTACAGTTTTTATTTTGTACATAGTTAAATTTTATACTTTGTGTGGGCTATTTATATTTTTTGTATTATTTATTTCTAATTTATTATTTTCTTGTTAACTGTTTTGATTGAGCAACTTGTTTCTCTAAAAATAAAATAAAATGTCAAAGACCGAGCCATTCAGTTTCCTGTGTGAGTATATGTATGTATATAACTGGCAGTGGAATTTACTGCGATGAAAGGGGAGGGGGGGTGGGGGGGGCACCTAAAATCTTGCCTAGGGCGCCAAATTGGTTAGAGCCGGGCCTGGTGACACCCTGGTGACACCCATCCAGTGAATCTGTTCATTCTTTGTGTTTATTCAGATATTAAGCTACACTTTGGCGCCGCTTTGAGTAAGAAGCACTCGTGTTTTCTTCTGAAATATTGGCTGTAATTTTGGCGAGCTTGCTGTGTAGCGGTGGAGCATTGATTCTGTGGAAATAGTGCAGGATGAAGCTTTAGCTTTCTGTTGAGCAAATATTTCATTTGATCATTTCTTTTTGAACACAGAGTCCCAGGGGGTGTAGAGAGATTCCTGCAGGCGCAACCCGGTCTCACTCCCAAGTGGTCAAATCCTGCAGCTCGGTCAGTGGCCCTCCGCTTCAAAATGTGACGCTGTAGGTATCCAGCAGCAGAACAAAGAGGAGGATCTGAATCTTTATCTCAAACATCTTCTTTGGAATTTGTTCTTCTATTATACAAAATATCTGTTTCTGTTTAGTTTGTACTTTTATTGTTTTCTCTTGATTTGATTTCATCATTGTGCTTCTGTTTGTATCCTTTCTCCTCACTGTGTGGAACAACAATAAACCTGCTGAAATATCTGATCAAAATATCAATCAATAGAATATGAAATCAATCCTGACAGCAGGAAAGAAAATCAGTCCCTCAGTTCAGTATGTTTGTGACTCTGGCTGAGATGGAGGTGAAATATGTGAACCTGGGCTGTGGTTTACTGCTCTCTTCCTGTCACACACACTGTTTGACATCTGTTGGTTTTTGTTCAGGCTGCAGGGATCATTTCTCACTGTGGGGACCAGACTTATAACAGGAGCAGTAGTAGGTGGCTGAATGACTGAGTTTAACTGTCTGGATCTGCAACTCACAGCCGTTCTCTTTATTCACAGCTGAGAAATCATCTTCCTGAGGATGATTGTAACTTTTATCTATGTTACCACTACTCCTAGCAATATCAAGAATCACTCTGAATGTTTCTGTGTCTTTCTTCTGGTACCAGAATACATAAGAACCGTCACACTGGTCAGTTCCTCCACAGCTGAAGGAGACGGTTTGACCAACTCTCCTGGTCAATGTTAAATCATCCTGACTCAGCTCTGCTGCCATGGCAACCAGCGCTGTAGAGAAACAGACAGATAGATGAAGGTTAGTGTGACAGTGTTTGTTAAAGGTTGACTTTGTTGGCTCCTGATTGGCTGGAAACACTCACCTGAACACAGACAGCACAGAGCAGCAGCTGGGAGGAAAAGCATTTTGTGCAGTGGTGTTTCCTCTGGTGAACCTGGGGAGAAGTGGCGCTCTGATGCAGCTGAGGCCAAACAAGGACGAGCTGTGAGATCAGACGAGGGCCACGTGGTTTCTAACAGGTCCTCAGACCTCCCATCAGCCCCTGCGGCCGACAGATAAGGCTGCCGCTGCTGATTGACAGCTCGGCTGAAGCTGCTGTGTGCTTTTCATTTCTTATTGACACTATTTCTCTTTGTTTTATTCTCATTATTTGGAGCTTTTTTCTGGATGATTCTTTTTTCCCAGACTTCTCTGTTTCTCTGAACTGATTCAGTGAGAAGTTTCTTCGTCTTGATTTGAATCTGACAGCAGATGAAAAATCTGGGTGACGATGATGCAGAAATAGAAAAAAGCATTCCTGTTGGCACAAACACATTCAGGTTGGTGGTGAATTTAGTAACACAGACTGTTATCTGTTGTTTAACAGCTGGGATGAAAATACAAAACTACAAATCCACAAAACTCCTCAACTGTGATTTGAAGCCTTAAACGTCCCCTTACATTTCTGTCATTTCATTTCATCATTTCATTTCTAGGACACATAAAACCTTTTCCACACACAGTATCACATCTTTATTGTGGATTCTGTTTGTAGTGCCCCTAATGCTAACCCAAAGGAAGTAGTAGTAGGGCAACTAACATCTAGCTAGGTCCGAGGTGTGGTGCCTTTAATAGCTCAGGACCAGTTAGTATGGGGATCGAACAGTTGACAGTATTTATTGCCTCACCCAACAATATCAACAGCAATTTAGATGGAATGAAAATAAAATCTAAACTAAAATAGAGCTCTCTCAGTTGTATAGTAAAATAAAAGAAATAGTCCTTTAAGGAGTCTGATATTGAGTTCAGAGTTCAGGGTTCAGTTCCTGATCCTTGTACGTGTGTGCACTGAGTCTGCTACTACCCGGGTAGAGTTAATAGTGTGTACGCAGTCTTATCTGTTCCTGAATGGGTAAAGTTGTCTGTGTCTGGTCGTGCGGCGGTCCTCACTGCGTCCCCGACCCTCCACAGTCACTCTGGGCTCGCCATCATTGGATCCTCTAGATTCTTTCTGGTAGCTCAATAAACCAACCTGCACAAGTAGTGCGAGTATTAAGTTACTCTGTTCTGTTCTTATTTCTAACATGAGACCTCATTAACTTATTTTCTTAGTGCATCAATAACCAGTGACTAGAACATACTTTGTTGACAATGGAATGAATTACCACATGTAATAGCAACTGGTACTTTAAGCACCAACAAATCTAAATCATGAATTTCTATAAACCTCAACAATTGGCTCATGCGCGTAAAGCTGCATGCTGCCTGTTACTCCAGCCTTTGAGTCTGCTTTTTTTAACTTCTTAACTTTTATTCTCTTTTTGTTCATTCTTATTTTTTCACTGTAACTCTATGAAGTCCTGCCCTCTCTAACGAGGTTGTTTGAGAGAGTTTTTGTGTTTTAATAACGCTTCCACCGGGACACGCTGCCGTTGTTTACTCCAGAGAACAGCTGAACGCACTTATGCCTGCGACCACTTTACACTTGGCATTTTTGCATATTTGAAAGTGGGACTTTAAATTATACTATATATATATGTATGTCTATTATAGTATGGAGTAATGTAACAAAAGTAATTTCCCCCTGGGATTATTAAAGGATGTCTGATTCTGATTCTGAATTGGTATTTTAATATCTACAAATTAATTATTTACCATCACTTTCTATATGTGACATTGTTTTTAACTGTTTCCAGACATCATTTTAATATTTTAGACTTTAAATATGAAATTTAATTGGATCACTACTAATGTATTTATCATGTACATTTTAATAAACAAAAGCAGCTCAAACACAGTGTAGTTGGGTTACAACTTATTAAAATGTATAACCAATTTAAAGCTGAATGATTTTAATATGAACACAATAAGTGCAATGCACCTTTAATTACTTACTTTTATTTTTACTTCACTTTATTTGCTAGTGATTAGCATTACAACTTTTTAAGAACAGTGATACAATATTCATTAAGACTAACATTTAGCCTTAGGTTAACCATTACCCAATTTTATAATTATTTTAAATTATGTTATAGAATTCATCTTTACTATGTTCATATATTATTTTCCAGTGAATCCCTCACTTTCAACCTGTAGTTATCAGCTCATACTACAGTTTATATGACAGTACTTCTATCTGTTCTGTGCTGCTGTGAAGAATAAAACCTTCACTCTGCTGCCCTCTAGTGTCTGCAACAACACACTGCTTCAAACTGTACTGCTACTGTCACTACTACTACAACTGTTTCTACTATTAGTGCCTTCTGACAGGGGTGGACTGGCCATCTGGCATACCGGGCATCGTCCCCCAATGTGGGCCGTTGACCCAATGTGGTCCGGTCCGGTCCGGTCCGCTATGTTTTTTTTTTCTTTCTCTCTCTAAATTCCCTCCAGTTGGGCCAATTGGCTACAGAGGGCTAGCAGTGTGTTGCCAGCATCGACACATATTATTGGTCTATGTTTGTCATTGTCAATCAATCAGTGCTGTCAATCACAACACAAACCAGGGTGGGCGGGACCTCATGGCATGGGCCGGAGTGGCGGGACGGGCTGCTGCTGAGCTGAAGATGGATAACCGTAAGAAACGCCCGGGTGGCGCTGAAACACTGCGACTTAAAAAGCTGAAGTCTCTGGAGGTGGAAGCTGCTAAATGTTGGACATTGACAGACCTATTTGGTGCCGGGGTCACCACCCCAGCAGGTGCTGCTGCGCCGGGAGACGAGCGAGTGGAGGCAGACATGGTGAGTAACGTTAGCCTGGTTTTTCCATTGAATGTGATGGGACCTCATTAACTGCATACTTGTGACAACATATTAGCCCAGAGTTGAAGGGCTGTGACTGTTGGTAGTTGTGCTTGATTTGGTTTAAATATGCCGAATTGTGATATTATGGGTTATTATTGTTCTAAGTTAGCCAACAGCTGCTTGTTGCCATAGCAACAGTAAGCATTGACATGGACTGATGACTGGAAATAGAGATGCAGAATCAAGCTGTATTGTAAATACAGATGAGATACTTTGAATTTGAGCACAAAATACAAGTAAACCTAGAGGAAATAATGAGTTTAATTTGCAATATTTGCCATTGAATTTATTGTAATCTTTCAATTCATAGGGTTAGAGACTTAATAATGTCTCCATGTCCCTCTCAGGTTGAACACTTGACATGTGAGAGCCTGAGGAGTTGTTCCCCCTCCGTCCATTTTCAAGGACTTGCTCTCTCTCTGCCTCCACTTCACCACTTTTTGGCTACTGAGACGTCTCTGATTGGTTGAGTATGTCATGTGTCTTATAATGTGATATGAATTCATACTTGATTTGTGATGATGACTTAATAATGTTTCCAAGTCTCTTTTAGGTTGACCACCCTATATATGAGAGCCTAAGGAGTTGTTGAAAAGGGCCGAATGTGGCTGTAGTGGAAAAAGTGCTTTGAGTGGTCAGAAGACTAGAAAGGCGCTACACAAGTACAGTCCATTAACCTATTAGTATTTACCAGCCCTTTAGCAGCTATTTCACCTATGGACGATACACTCTAGCTCTCAGGATCACACATTGGGTTCACTCCTGAGAACAAAGCATCAGTGTTAAATGTGAAAACTGATTCACAACACAAGAGGGCGCCTTCATCCTGCTAACCAGGGATGTAGTGGAGGTTAAAGCACCTCAACTCACTTTGTCAGCTCAGTGATCTCCTGCTCCAGCTTCTCCTGAAGCTCTTTGACTCAACTCACTTCAGTTTCCTGCTGGGATCTGACCTGCTGCTTCACATCGGAGCTTCTTTTCTGGATGAGACGGATCAGCTGAGTGAAGATCTTCTCACTGTCCTCCACTGCTTTATCAGCAGAGCGACTGATAGCCTCCACCTCACGCTCCTCTACAGCTACAAAGGGACCCATCTTTGGCCCAATCTTTCTGACTGAACATGCATTTTTGTTGTTTAGTTGAATATTTTGAATACAAATTGTTTGTGTGTCTTGAGGGGTTAGCCAGAACCAGCCTGGTTTGCCACTGTGGCAGCTACATTAGGACTCAGCTAACAGCAGCTACATTAGCAGTAAGAGTTAAGGTAGGTAGAGCAGCCGGAGGACGTCAGTGGGAAAACCAGACCATATTTCCTTCATAAAATATGATGCAGTTTCACCCAAATCACTGATGAAGTTGTGTTTCTGTACAGTAATCAGTGAGCTCTGGCCCTCCAGAAACAATCTGCTCCGGTAGAGTTTGCTCTCTTTTAGGAGAAAGAGTTTTCAGGCTTTACTGCATTCTACAAAAGTACATTTCTGGGAGAGGTAGGGTTTCTTATTGTGCATTACATAGTTCTTAAGAAGGATTGAAAATAATGCTTCATTTTTGAAATTCATTATTCACTTTTGGTCAGTGGCGGACTGGTGGCCTGGCCGCCCAACTGGCCCGCTCGGCAATTGCAGATGGTCGATACCAAAGGCTCGGTTCGGGTTGCGCTTGATTTTGAAATAAACAATCCGTCGTGCGGCTCATTAGGGTATCTGCCTCGCTGAAGCTCACACACACACACACACACACACCTCCTCCCTCACCTGTAGTTCTACATGCTTGGAAAATGGAGCGAGATGGACAGCCCAAGAGGAAAGGTGGAGCAGAGAGGGAGAGGCTTAAAAAGCTAAAAGCACTGACCACAGATCAGCGAAGTGCTGTAACATAACTGATGTTTGTCAGTAAGGGAGCAGGTCAGACATTAAACACTAGTGGAGACAACAGACACACAACCAGAGCCTATCCAGCACCACCAGCTTCATGAGGAGGTTAGTTCCACTTTGACTAATACAAACTGACTTAATAAAACTAATGTTTTAAGTTGTAACAAAGGATATTGCAAATTTTAGAATATTGTTAACTAACATAGACACAACATAATAAATTATATGAATACTGAAATCCTTGTATTATATTATTTCATTTAACCTTTACTTCACCAGGTAAAATCCCATTGAGATTAAGAACATATTTGTTGTTATATGAACATAACCAATGCTTATAAAAATGGTCAATTAGTGAATTTGAATAGATGGAAATGATGGGTGGCTTTTGGATTTTTCTTTACAAAGGTGGAGAAGGGAGCAGTGTGAGTGAGTGAACGTTGTAACCTTTTCTTTCTTTCTTTTTTTACTCACTGTGACTATTGTATCATATTTTACATTTCTTTCTGTGTGTTTGAAGTTGACTTGTTTAATGTTACAGAGAATAAACCTACACATCTGCACCACCTGTGTACCTCTCACTGTTGCTATGATACTATGGTTGACACAGTGGTCAAATTTATAACTAGTCTGGTACCTGTTACATTAAAAATAGGATTGGTCTCAAGTTTAGGTGGATTAAAAGTGTAGTAGTAAATTAAATAGAATAGAAATTTCAGTTTATGTGATTTGAGTACAGGTTATTGCAGCACAACAGAAACATTTATTTTGTAGGGGAAAGAAACAGAAAAAGCTGTGTGTGGGCGCATGTGGAGCCTTTGCTTTATTATTTTACACTCTTACATCGGTAGGCGCCCAACCTAACTCACTCTTGGTGTTTTGCGTTAATCGGGTGGTGGTGGCCTGGGATGGTACTAAATTCCCGGCCTGAATTATTGTCCCAGTCCGCCCCTGCTTTTGGTGATTGGAGTCATCTGGATACCCTTGCACTTCCTCTGACTAACCACAGGGTGGTAGTGTTTCTCTCTGATGTTTAATTCATTAAATCAGTCATTAAATTTAATGTATTATTATTTTATGTTATTTATTGCTGACTCATAAGATTGTTTAAAATCCAGATCATGAAGAAATAAGACTTGTCAACAGAGGTCAAGGAGCCAGAAATCCCCTCCCCTAATGAGTAAAATAAACAATAAAAACAAAAAAAGGGGCATCATGAATTAATCATCAAGAGAGAAACATGTCTTGAAATAATATCTGTTAATTCAATTTGAAGAAACGATGATGGTAGAGAAAAACACAAATATCTGATGAATAAAATGTCATATACTGACACAATGTTCAGTTTTCTGATAAGAAGGACAGAGGCCTTGTTAGAGTTTGAGAGAGCTGACAATCTTACAAATTGTTTTTTTCAGCAAAAAAGTTCATTAGTAGTTTTCTGATGATCCCTGTTTAAGTTTTTTCCAATGTAATTTCTTATCAGTTGAGAAACTTGAGATATGTATTTTCCCTCGACTGACACTCTAGCATAATCTCCGTCATACCTCCTGCCCCTTCCCACAATCATTATGAAATCTCACTTTTTAATATTTAATGTGCAATGTGAAACCATCTTGAAACTGTCACCAATTCCTCATTTAATTTCACTTACTAGAGTGTGTAAGTTAAGATTGCAGAGAACAAAAAAGGAAAACAAAACTTATAAACTAATGAAAAATCATTCCTATACATTTTTAGAAAACAATATTTAAGCAGAGAGTTTGAGGAGTTCACGAGTGTGTACAGCAGCAGATATGAATCTGTTCTCAGTGGTTATTAGGACTCATAAAAAACTGTTGACAGCGAATCAACACTTCCTTTCCTGCAGCAGACGGGCTGTGTGGGTTTCCTCTCTGCAGCCTCCTCACCGTTAGCTGCACTTTTTCACATTAATAACACAATGACAGTTACAACCATCGACTCTGGTTAAAGAATCATTCCAGGAACTTCAGCTTGATTTCAGCTCTCAGTACTCACTGTGAAAGTTGTCTTTAATTCAAACAGTTTTATTGATTCTGTAAAGGTGACAGTTTAATGACAGTTTCTCCAGCCTGACTCCAACTTGTATCATAATACAACATATTAGGACATGTTGGAAAGGATCATAGCCTGCATACATTAACATCATCAATACAAAGACAATTTCTAATTTATTTGTTCATTCTTAACATGTTACAAATTAGAATAGAAACTGATCAAGCTGTTGTATCATCATTTTATAGCAGTTGTAGCTTCAAATCAGCTCGCTCTGCTGTTTGTCAGCAGTGTCGTCAGCGTAGAGTTTTACATCCACACTGACACAGTTATAAAAGGACCTCAGCACTAAAGCAAGTGACACTGATTGTGTTTCTAATTTTTGCTATGAAGCCAAACTGAAATTCACAAATACAATACAAAAACAGAAAACAAGAACATAGAAAATATAAACAGTAAATATCTAGCAGACAGATAATGATTCAGCTTTTCTATGATTATACGAGTCACAATTAAAAGTGGAAATAAACTAGAGCTAAACTAAACTAAACTAACACTACAGTAGCAAAGAATTTACACTAACAACCTCAAATATATATGTGTATGTGTATGTATTTATATTTTCTGGAGCACTTTATTGAACCTGTTTTTTAAAAGATAGGTTTCCCAATGAACCACAAAAAAAATTAAATCTAAATTGATATTTCTGTCTGCTAATCAAAGTGATAAATGAGATGAATTGATGATATTTGAAAACAGTCAGTCAGAATGTGTGCAGTTGGTGGACGGTCCCTTGTTTCTGAGGATCATCAGCAGAGAGAGTCCACAGCAGTACACCAGACTCTTCACTATCAGCACTGTGTACATCAGACAGAGCAGCTTCACCTGGCACTGAGACTGGAAGGACACTGACAGACAGACAGACAGACAGACAGACAGGTCAGTCTTCTCTCCACACTGTTTCAATCTGTTCAACTGTGTAAATTTCATCAGTATAACTTGGACGTTTCCAGACGGGACAACCGGCTTTACATGAAGACAGGGGTCAGCTACAGTTTGAATGAAAGCTCAAAGGCCCTTATTAAATACAACAAGTCAGGGCCCCACCAAACTTTTAAGGGTCTTAAATAAGATTTGATTTTCTGTTTGATCCAAAACAAAAACTTGGAGCTAAAAGACACTAAAAAGCTCCGTAGAGCTGCAGAGTTGGTGATGAATATCTGTGAGTTCACAACTACCAAAGACACTTTCACTTTACACAGAGTCATTAGATTAATTCTTAATATAGAAATATTCATAGAGGAGCTTTAAGATATAGTCCCCAATGTTTTGGCAGAGAGGCAGCAGGTGATCTTACAGTCAGCTTGCTGCAGAGCTGGCAGGTCTGCTGGCTCTCTCTCTGGAGGACAGGAGGCTGCTGGAGCTGGAACCTCTGGAAACAGAAAAGGAGTCAAAAAGAAATGTCAGTCCTCTGCTCCTCTGCTCTCTTTGACAGCGTCTCCACATGAAGCTGAATCACTGCTGAACACAGTCACCAAGCCTTCATTACCTTGTTCTGTTTGGGCCTCCACTGTGTCCCCCTCGTGATGGACGGAGCAGCGGTATTTATATGTGCTGTTCTCTTGCTGAGGGATCAGCAAGATGGAGGTGGTGCGTCCCGACTCTCTGAGCTCCAGCTGCTCTCCCTCAGCAGAGGTCACGTCTTCCTCAGGACCATTGTCCTTTTGTCTTTTCCAGGAGAACCGGACCAGAGGAGGAAACATGTCTGAGGCCACACACAGCAGGGAGCTCTTCCCCTCCAGGTGGGCTCTGGATGCTGCTGGGTACACGCTCACCACGGGCTTCACTATCTGCTCATCTGAAGTTTGACAGCAGCAACAAGCAGCACAGACACACATTCACACAGTCAACAGCAGCTTACAGCACTGCACTGCATTCAGTCTGATCCTGGAAACTACATGGACTCTGATCACTAAACTACTCATCAATACAGCACAAAGTTCAATTCTTCAATCTGCCTTCAAGAAAAGAAAAAGTATTTTATATATTATGGTTAATGTTATTTTTTATAGCAAAGGACAAATTGATCTTAACATCAACACAACAGCCGATGGATGATCACAATATATTAGATATATTATATATTTACCAATATTCTTCACTCTAACTGCCAGATATCTACGGATATGAGACTTTATTGATCCTTCATGGGAGAATAATTAATATAACGTCATAAAATAAAATAAATCTGGAAATGTAGAAATCTTTAAATGTAAACTCAAAGTGAACTCTGTAGCTGGTTTTTAACTAGGAATGTTTTATAGATATTATTTACCTCATTTTATTCTGTTATTTTATCAGATTTCCTTTTAAATTTCATTGTAAATGAAAAGTTTACAAGGGGTTAAAAGTTTAGTTTCTTTCTTTTTAATCAATCTTATTGATTTCATTTGTCTTTAATTATGGTTTATTAATCTATTTGATCTAGTTTTTAGTATAGCTTTAAACAATATTTTTATATCTCTAAGATTTAATTAACTGTATTTTATTTTATTTATTTTTGTCTTTGTATTTTTTGGAAAATCTGATTGAATAGTTTTTGAAATTATATGTTCAGTATCTGATACATATTTACCGCTATATACTATAAAATCTGTTTACTTTTACAAATTGGAAATTATGTTAAACATCATATAAAGTATTAAGATAGAAATGTGTGTGTATGCTATTATATATCATCATTATAGAAATATATTAATGAATGTGCATCATCCACTAAAAGACAGTACAATTGTCATTATGTACATTTTACCATTAAAATTTTAATTTTTTCCTACACAAAATTTTAAGTTAAATGCTTTTCAAACACATTTACTGATATACATTCAATAATATTTAATATATTATATTGTTTTATAAAACAAGAGATGGTTCTGAATTACTGAGATGATCAAATACTGTATATCTGTAACATTGCCAATATTGCACAATGATCACTGACATCATTAAAATATATGTTGAGGTGTATTTGTTATAATTAAATCCAACAAGGTCGACTTATTTTGTGCTTTAGGATTTGGCCTTGTTGGTGCATTAATGAGTTGCACAAGGTTTAAGGAGTCACAGAGTTCTTTAAAACAATCTGCCAGCAGATACTAAAACACGTGTTTACTTTTACACTTTTGATATTATATTAAACATCATATACTATTTATATTAAAAGTCTATCAAGATACAAATACATATTTATACATTATATATCAGTCATCTATATTCATCATATATAGAAATAGAAATATATAAATTGGTACGCATACATTCTCTTTATATCCAGTATCTGTTGGCCTTCAGCTATGAGTATATTTTCTTTAAAACATTTGTACCATCATATAAAATACAATTAGCAAAATCTTACCATTAAAAACACTTTTTTCTTATACAACACATTTAAAGACACATACTGACACATATTTAATAATATTTATTATCATATATTATCTAGTTTCATTAAAACAGGAGATGGTTCAGAATTACTGAGATGATCAAATACTGTATATCTGTAACATTGCCAATATCATACTTTTTCTATATAAATCAGTTTGATCTCATGCAGAAATAAAGAATAACTTCAGTTGTGCAGTGAGATTTAAACATCTTTTCAGGAATTATGAACCTTTTTTATGTAACAATAGCTGCATGGCTGCAAGAATTCTCTACTAATTATGAAAAAACTAACATGTAAAGCCTGAAGCAGCAGAAACTCATTAAAAACACATTTTCAACTTGTTCAGTAAAACAACTGAAGGAAAATGAAGGTTTATTCTTACCTGTTACATACAGTTTAGTTCCAGAGCCAAAGATGAGGTAGACACAGTGAGAGAGACTAATACAAAAACCTGTCTGCTGTTGAATGTCTCTTTAGACACACTAGCAGTGTCGCTCTATGGATGGTAATGTCTGTCCGTCCACTACTTTAGTCCACATGGATTGGACCTGGACCAAAGGATGGATGGATGGACAAATAAAATCTTGTACAGACATTCTTGGTCCTGGCTCCTGGAAGTTGCTCCATGTCCTCCCTGATTCATATTCTTCATATACGTTTACAGTCTACCTATACTATTCATTCTATTGTACATATTGTTGTTTTGGTCTATTCTGTACATACAACATTTATTGTATCTCATCCTGGAAGAGGGATCCCTCCTCTGTTGCTCTTCAAGGTACAAAGTAAGTTATTCTGTCAGTATACAACCAAGGTTGCACAATGAAAAGAAAGTAGCAGGTGGGCTGGTCCTGCCGTTCTGGCTGGGTGGATCGTCTCTTTAATCCAAACCCCACACTTCCTTTGCTGATGACTGCAGTCTATTTCTGTCAGAGGTAATACGTGTTTGAGCAATAAAGCTGAAAACAGATTGAACCTAAACAGAGAAGTTTGAAGGAGCTAGCCTACCGACCGCAGCATCTGAATGTGCAGCCGTTCCCAAAGCAGTAGAAATAATCAGGAGTTTTCCACCTTGATTTTTCACCTGTTAAAGGGTTTTTGTGGAGTTTCTCTTTATCTGAATGGAGGCTGTGAGGATAGAGGGTGTCGTATGCTGTACACATTGTAAAGCCCCTTGAGGCCAGTTTGTGATTTGTGATATTGGTTCATTGGGTGAAGGGATGAGTCTTAAAGTGGAGATGAAACAGTCAAATATACATACATTATAATATATAAATGATAATAATAATCTAAGTCTCTTGCTCATTAGGAACAAGAATTGTACATTATGTGGATAAGAGGAGCTTCACTGAGTGAGCCTCTGAGAGAAACTCCGGTTAGCCTGGTTGCTACATGCTAAGAGGCCTCGTCCGTTATTAGCTGTTGATGTAGCTTGTTGTGTGAAGATGCCTTTCATTGAGATACTTTTATTAAACCAATCGGAGCTACAGGAATGTTTCCTAATGTTTGAACTCACCTTGGTACTGTTTGTATCATTGTGAACAGTGTAAACTTTTCAACTTCACGCTCCCTCATTTGAATAATGTAGAGGTCCAACTCCCCCAACCTAGTAAGAGTGATGGTATGGGCTGATTTTTGTGTCAGTAGAAACTGAATCTGAATTGCTCAACTTGAATAATTGCATTAAAAAACTGAATCTGAATCATTTGAATTTATTAGTTTGAAACTGAATTTGAGCCTCACTAAAAATTCAACTTTTTATGTACTTTCAGATTCAGCTCTCTAAAGTCAAATGTCGTAATCTCAACTCAATTTCAAACCACTAGATTACAGTTTTAAGGTCACAGACGGGTCAAGGTGTTCAGGAAGAGCAATCGAGTGCAGATGCACAGAGCTCCTTTTCGATCGATCTTTACATCAAAATATCGATTCCAAGTCCACTTTTACAAGAAATATTAATACTTTTATGACACAGACTCTCTAATCAATTTTATAGAAGTAAAAAGTGAAACCTGTGGTCAATATTTGTGCCGTCTATCAGTCAGTCAGAGACAGCGGAGAAGGAAAGAAGCACAGGATGGCAGAGAGAAAGAGGAGCATCGTCTGGACACATTTCACAGCAGTAAGCTCGAATGAAGCTACCTGTGATTTGTGCTCAAAGTGTCTCAGGTATTGTGGTAATACCACAAATCTCACTAAACACCTAAAGGTGAACCATACCAAAGAGCACGACGACTTGCAGCGGAGGAGATTAGAGGAGAGGGAGAGAGAGGGAGTGCAGGGAAAAGCCCCCACACCTGCAGCCCGAATGAGGCAGACCTCTGTCTTGGAAGCCCTGCAGAGAGGCAGGCAATATCCAGGTATAGTGAAAGTACATCACAGTGCCCACCATCACAGGCATATAGACGTAGAGAAGATACATTTACATAAAATACCAGAATGTTTTTGTCAATTTTGCATTAAAACATAATATTTTATTAATTTATTTTATTTATTTGGTCAGATAAAACTGTTTCCTCCCAGCACAATATGTAGGCATTAGTTTAACTCACATTCCTGCCATCATCTTAACACAATTCAGTATCACTTAAGTTAAAACATATAAATGGGAAATGAGAGACAATGTAGAATGTGACCTTTGTTGTTGTTCAAGTTCAAATTCTGTCAAGTTATAATCTGAAGACCACTCTGTCTGGTCCAAAAAGTAAAATATTGAAGTCAGAGCAGCTGTTCTTATTTTCTCTTTTTTTGAGAGATTTTTTTTAAATGTGATTTGCACATATTTCCAGTTGACTTGTTGATTTGCACAGATTGTCTTTAATTGCTCTGATTAAAGAGAAAACAGAGTCTGATATTTGGCAGCTTGTTTAATTCTTATACAGAGGTATAAAATACATTTTTCATAATCACATTCACAAGTTTTCATTGTAAAAGTCATCATGTTCATATACACAAGTAGGACATCTAAAAGTATCGGTATCGGTATTGGTATCGGGATACTAGCCTTGGTATCACCTGGTATTGGATCGAAAGGAAAATTAGTGGTATCGCACATCCCTAGTGTGAGGCACCACTGCCAGGTGGAACACGGTCTTCTGCTTCACCGCGCCCTCTCTGGCTTATTAGCCAATCATTGTTCATGTCGAGGGGATAAAAGTAGGCCGTGCCCTTCCTCCTGACCTCTCGCTTCCTGCCTCTTTGGCCCGCCTACTCCCGGGCCGTTGCGTTCGTCGCTCGCCTCAGAGCACAGGTAGGCGCACCTTAGCGTGCTGTTTGTGTATATTCGTCAGCGTTTTGTTTAACTCGGGTAGGCCATTGCGAGCTCCGTCGGGGCTCTCAGCCACTTGTTTGGACTGTGTGTGTGTGTGTGTGTGTGTGTGAGTGTTTTAAAGGTAATCTGTAGTTGTTTATTTAATTTCTTTAATTGTGAGCCCTCTTAACTGTGCCTCTTATCTTCTCCTAGAGCTGAAGGCCGACGGTGGTGGTGGTGGTTCCCCTGGGTGGTGGTGGTGATCCTTTGTGTGTGCGTGAGCCTCGTTCAAGATTGTCTTTGTGTGCACGTCACATTTTTGCTGTGTGAGTGGGGTGCTCTCCTTCTTTTTGGACGTCACTTTCCCCTGTCGACCCCTCCTCCAGCCGGTAAGCCTCAGCCTGTACCCCCTTCCTTCCCCTGTTGGGCTCCCTTTTCCCTTTTATCTTTTTGTGCCAAACTTTGTGTTTATGTAAATAACAATAAAATGTTGTATGTGATCATTGAACTCTGTCTCCTGCCCTTCCTGAGTGAACGAACCTGAGTGTCCTTTTGTAAGAGGTGATAATTGACCTTCAGTACGGGTCCTTGGGCCCTAACCCAAGGTGCCGTTGTCAGTAACAAACAAAAAGAGAAAAGATCGTCTGATAACTTAGTAATCATCCCACCCTCGTTTCGCCACACTGATAAATAATGATACATGCATCCCATGTTTACCAAACCTTTGTTTGTTCTGCCCTTCTCCCCACTGTCCTCCTTGACTTTTGATTCCCCCAATGTTTGGCCCACATGATGAAATATAAGAATCTGCCAATCCACTGTATTTATTAGAAACAATATCACTGCTGTGGATTGTGTTTTTTAAATTACATACTTACAGGCCCTTTTCACAGTGACGTTAGACAACTTCCGTGTTGGAGCGAAGCAGGGTATCGCTGCATCCGGTTTGAGCCCTTTCAACTGAAGATGCGGGAACACAGGACAGCGCTCAACAAAATTCAGTGTATTTAATAGAGGTAAGATTGACACTAATATTTTACTTGTCGTAGTATATGTCATCTTCATTCCTCGGTATCGTTAGCGATGGTTGCAGTTATGTAGCTGCCTTGAGGTGCAAAATAACGTCAAGATGCATGCTAACCGGCAGGCTAACAAGCATAGATCTATGGCTAACAAGCAGCAACTTCAGCTATAGAGTGAATATGATAACGCGATGCTGTCCACCTATTAGAAATCTGACGTCGATGTAATTCATCTTTTTCCCCTCTCCCTGTTTTCCTTGTGTCCATCTCTGGACAGCATAATATGGCACACTGCTACTGCAGTGTCGCAGGCTGTTCCAACAATAAGAAGAATTTCCCGCATCTTAGTTTCCATGACTTCCCAGCTGATGCTGGGCTTCGTGCCTGTTGGGTGAGGGCAATAAGGAAAGATGAGGGGCCAACTTTTACAATCCTTTGTGGTAGCACTTATATCTGCAGTCAGCACTTCACATCAGAAGAGAAATGTTTCTGCCAGTGGGCGAAGCAAGCTGAAGAAAGGAACAGTGCAATCTAGATTCCTGTGGATTGACTGGGGCAAAGGTAAGAGGGCTGTGTTAAAGTGGAATTACTGTTTTTTTTTACAATCTGGACCTTGTTTCTAGCATAAAATACGATCATTTACTCACCCAGATAACTTTGGTGTCATTACAAGTCGTTCCGATGAGAACATCTAGTCACCCACTGACTGTCCATGCAGATGTATGTGTGTGACTCCATTCATGAATGCTTATTAAATCTCAAGAAAGACAGATGACGTATGAAGACTTCTTTTAAATTCTTCATTGAATAGACAGAAATTATTTTTGCCAACACAAATCAACATATTTGTTATTGTAGGAAGAGGCTCACAAGCTCGGGAGTCACCATATCAGCGTGCAAGAAAACGCCTTGCAGAGGCAGATGACACTGAGATGCCTGTCCCAGAGAGTAGCACAGAGGATGTACCCCATCCGGATCCAGTGCTAACAGACCATGACTACACCTGCCATCCCTCTCCTGGTCAGTATTTAAAAACTTGAGCCCATTCCTTCTTCCTTACAGAAAACTGAGATATGTGTAAATCATATCATTATCTTCATGCTATCAACCTAAATGGCACAAGGCCATGCAATATCTGACAATTTATGGCAATAGACGCATTACCTGGTAACTCTCAATATTGTGTTTCTTCACCTCATAAAAGTTAAGAGTTTCTGTTAAGCTCATTGATATCATCCAGTTATGAGTACAAACTGAAAACAGATAAGTGAACCAAATAAGGTGTATGCTCTTTTGTCCTCTAAAGGTGAAATGGACAGTGCTGCTAGGATGATTCAGCAGTTGAAGGTGCAAGTGGTTACACTGGAACAGTAAATCCGGCAGCTGACACTGAAGAATCAGCAGCCACTGATTTCTAGGTTCTGTGTCACTGATGAGGACTACCGTTACTACACGAGATTCAGCTCCAAGAAGGTCTTCGCTGTGTTTTGGGAGTCTGTTTACCCCTCTGCATCGAGGCTTGTCTATTGGTCTAAAGCAAAGCGAGCAGCGGAAGTGATGCCTAGCCCACAGCGAAAGCTTGAACTGATAGATGAACTGTTCATGTTACTCTGTTGCGTAGCAGCTGGGCTTCAGGAGAAGACCATGTCATCTCTCTTTGAGGTCAGTGTGTCGTCTGTTAATCGCATCATTCTAACGTGGACAAGCTACCTCTACCAGGTTCTGGGATCACTACCATCATGGATGACAAGAGAGCAAGTGCAGGCCACAATGCCTGACAAATTCAGGCTCTACTGTCCTCAGCTCAGAGTCATCATAGACTGCACTGAGATCCGCTTTGAAACAGCATGACATTCTCAAGCTACAAAACTCACACCACCTTCAAGGGTCTGATTGGTGATGGCCATGTGGTGTTATCACATTTGTTTCTACACTGTACACTGGCTCTGTTTCAGACATTGAAATAACAAAGAGATCACACCTTCTACAGCTACTCCAGCCAGGGGATGAGGTAATGGCGGACAAGGGCTTCCTGATTGAGAAGATGCTGTCAGAGGTGGGGTCAAAACTCATCATCCCTCCATTAAAAAAGTCCACCCAGCTCAGTAAGGAAGACACTCAGAAGACCCAGGCTATTGCTCGACTGAGGATCCTAGTGGAAAGGGCCATACCCAGGGTCAAGGAATACCACATTTGGGATGGGCTTGTTCCACTCTCTATGGTAGGATCTGTCAATCAGCTCTGGGCCATCTGTGGCCTGATGTCTAACTACCAGGGACCTCTTGATATCAAAGGGGACAAACCAGTCTAAGGCTTCCTATTTTGGACCTTACTGCAAGTGACTGTACAGCTGTGGCCCTGTGTACTGTAAATGGTTGCATGTAAATGTTAAGTGAACTGATTGTTTTAAAATGAAATGCTGTTTTGAAAATAAAATACTGTTTGTACGAAAAAATGAAATGCTGTTTGGCTTAAATTCTAGGTGGGGTGAGGATGACAACAATAAAGTAGCTCATGACGCATGCATGCATGCATGAACACATCCACATCCACACACGTCCACATCCACATACATACCTACATGCACACAGAGCACACAGAGTCATTTTTAAGTTTTACTACATAAGAAGACATCCATGTAGATGTTGAAGTAGAACTCATCCAGCTTTTGGCGCATGGACAGGATAAGCTCCTCATCTCTAAAGATTCGTTCTACAGTGAAGTCAGTGTGCGTATCAGTAACAAAATCACACCACTGAAGGCCACTTATGGCCAGATGTCCCTGCACCTGGTAATAGTATTTGTGTGTCTTGCGTAAGTAGGCTTTGCCTTGAACTGTGGTCAGGTGTTTCACTTGTTGAACACTTTCCACGTTGCAGGTCTTGACCTCTGCCAGGCCAAATGGTGGTTCTTCGCACGGGTTGAAGACTTTGGCATCAGGGCTAACCCCAAGGTGAGGTGCGTCTGGGTGTATTATTACACCAGAAGGTGTCACAGAGACATCACAGAAATCTGAATACTGCCGCAGTATCTCCGCCTCCAGGTCCAAACCTCGTTTCCTGGCAGCAGTCTGAGGAGTTCCCCTCAGGATGCAAGAAGCCAAGGCTTTGGCAGAAGACTCCCCACGGACATGGCATATCTCACGGAATCGGCTGGCTGTGAGTCGGGGTTTGCGTACCAGGGTCCATAACTGGCATTCTGACTGCTGTCTGGTTTCAGTTTCAATAGCAGCTGAGATCTCCCGTGTTACCTTTAAAAAAAAGAAGAAAAAATTAATGCACATCACATTAATCGTGAATATTGACAGATAACACTCTTTATATGAAAACCCTCGTAAAATAAAGGTTAAATAAATCAATAAAAACCTTCAGGCTCTCCAGGTGGCATTGTTGCTTGTAATTGAGCTCATAATTTCCTGGGAATTTAAAACTGTAGCCATCAACAGGTAACTGCGGAAACGCAGGGGCATCAGGGTGTCTAATACAGTCTTTTCTTATTTCAGGAGGGCACTGGTAAGAAAGGACAGAGCCAAATGGCACAGGGCCAAATTTAGAGTCGACCAAATTAAGGTTCTTGAGCCCATGCAGCAGTTTGCATAACCCTGGTTGTGGATGAATGTCTTTGAGAATTGACATGGCCACTTCAATGATAATCCAGAAATACAATAATACACTGATTATTAGTGCGCATGTAAACACTCGTCAACAGTGTCTTTCTCAGTCTTTGCTGTCCTCAACTAACCTAGGCCTTAACAGTTACGTGTGCAGCTGTTTTATTGATTGTGGCTCCTAAAATACTGACATGAGACTGAGAAACACACTACACCCACAGTGGAACTTCGTGGGATACTGCAAAGTCTGCAACCGCAGCATAACACAACAAAAGAGCCCTAAAACTGAGCCCTAAAATCCTATTCAAAAAAGCTGGAGATAATGAGGCTCCTCGTTTTCTTCATTGACCTGTGACAGCGTGCTCTCACTGTGACCGAGTGGTCAACAGCGTCTGACACTGTTCCAAAACAATGTTAGGTGAGAGAAGGCTCGGCATTGCACATGAAGGCTAAACAATATTAAACTATATTCAAGGCACGACTCAATAACAGCTGTTAATAATATTTATAAAGCTACCATAGCAACTTCATCGAGAAACAGACAACTAATAGATGATCAAAACGCCTGTAGCCTACGTTAAGTTATCATTACCCTAGCATCTCCGCTAACGACAAAACACTTACCTTGATAATAAAACAGGTACTGTTCTATAGAACTTGTAACCCTTGTCGAGTTTAGAGGCTGGAGTCTTTGAGAATTTTTCTGCCAGTCTGTGTACGTCTCCTAAACGAAATTTTGGGAGCTTGAGGAGTGACTGTGTGAAATCCATTTTGGAAACACCGCTCAGTGAGATAGCGGAAGCAAAGACGGAAATCAGGATACGCTGCTTCGCTCCAGAACGGAGGTTGTGTGACGTCATGTGAAAAGGGCCTATTCCACTGTAAGTTGTGTCTAAGCAGAGAGACGAGCAGACACTGTGTGTCCCCAGCATAACCGCCCGAAGTACTAAGAGACTTGAACTGAGATTCTCTCTCAAAATGATAAACAGCAGACAATGCTCTAAACAACTCAAAGTGTTTCTGTGCCAATGTTACATGTTACACAAAGTGATAAACATTTCCATATGCTACTGGAATTATCAGGAAAAGATATTAGTAAAGGAAACTTAAGCTTAAGTGTAGATTTAGTTTAGTTTAGTTGATTAAGTTCATTTAATTGCCAATATATATGGTGGTGTAGTTTAATTTATTTTATCACTTGTTTACAGTTTTTATTTTGTACATAGTTAAATTTTATACTTTGTGTGGGCTATTTATATTTTTTGTATTATTTATTTCTAATTTATTATTTTCTTGTTAACTGTTTTGATTGAGCAACTTGTTTCTCTAAAAATAAAAAAAAATGTCAAAGACAGAGCTATTCAGTTTCCTGTGTGAGTATATGTATGTATATAACTGGCAGTGGAATTTATTGCGATGAAAGGGGGGGGGGGGGGCACCTAAAATCTTGCCTAGGGCGCCAAATTGGTTAGGGCCGGGCCTGGTGACACCCTGGTGACACCCATCCAGTGAATCTGTTCATTCTTTGTGTTTATTCAGATATTAAGCTACACTTTGGCGCCGCTTTGAGTAAGAAGCACTCGTGTTTTCTTCTGAAATATTGGCTGTAATTTTGGCGAGCTTGCTGTGTAGCGGTGGAGCATTGATTCTGTGGAAATAGTGCAGGATGAAGCTTTAGCTTTCTGTTGAGCAAATATTTCATTTGATCATTTCTTTTTGAACACAGAGTCCCAGGGGGGTGTAGAGAGATTCCTGCAGGCGCAACCCGGTCTCACTCCCAAGTGGTCAAATCCTGCAGCTCGGTCAGTGGCCCTCCGCTTCAAAATGTGACGCTGTAGGTATCCAGCAGCAGAACAAAGAGGAGGATCTGAATCTTTATCTCAAACATCTTCTTTGGAATTTGTTCTTCTATTATACAAAATGACTTTTACTTTTCATCTGTTTCTGTTTAGTTTGTACTTTTATTGTTTTCTCTTGATTTGATTTCATCATTGTGCTTCTGTTTGTATCCTTTCTCCTCACTGTGTGGAACAACAATAAACCTGCTGAAATATCTGATCAAAATATCAATCAATAGAATATGAAATCAATCCTGACAGCAGGAAAGAAAATCAGTCCCTCAGTTCAGTATGTTTGTGACTCTGGCTGAGATGGAGGTGAAATATGTGAACCTGGGCTGTGGTTTACTGCTCTCTTCCTGTCACACACACTGTTTGACATCTGTTGGTTTTTGTTCAGGCTGCAGGGATCATTTCTCACTGTGGGGAACAGACTTATAACAGGAGCAGTAGTAGGTGGCTGAATGACTGAGTTTAACTGTCTGGATCTGCAACTCCCAGCCGTTCTCTTTATTCACAGCTGAGAAATCATCTTCCTGAGGATGATTGTAACTTTTATCTATGTTACCACTACTCCTACCAATATCAAGAATCACTCTGAATGTTTCTGTGTCTTTCTTCTGGTACCAGAATACATAAGAACCGTCACACTGGTCAGTTCCTCCACAGCTGAAGGAGACGGTTTGACCAACTCTCCTGGTCAATGTTAAATGATCCTGACTCAGCTCTGCTGCCATGGCAACCAGCGCTGTAGAGAAACAGACAGATAGATGAAGGTTAGTGTGACAGTGTTTGTTAAAGGTTGACTTTGTTGGCTCCTGATTGGCTGGAAACACTCACCTGAACACAGACAGCACAGAGCAGCAGCTGGGAGGAAAAGCATTTTGTGCAGTGGTGTTTCCTCTGGTGAACCTGGGGAGAAGTGGCGCTCTGATGCAGCTGAGGCCAAACAAGGACGAGCTGTGAGATCAGACGAGGGCCACGTGGTTTCTAACAGGTCCTCAGACCTCCCATCAGCCCCTGCGGCCGACAGATAAGGCTGCCGCTGCTGATTGACAGCTCGGCTGAAGCTGCTGTGTGCTTTTCATTTCTTATTGACACTATTTCTCTTTGTTTTATTCTCATTATTTGGAGCTTTTTTCTGGATGATTCTTTTTTCCCAGACTTCTCTGTTTCTCTGAACTGATTCAGTGAGAAGTTTCTTCGTCTTGATTTGAATCTGACAGCAGATGAAAAATCTGGGTGACGATGATGCAGAAATAGAAAAAAGCATTCCTGTTGGCACAAACACATTCAGGTTGGTGGTGAATTTAGTAACACAGACTGTTATCTGTTGTTTAACAGCTGGGATGAAAATACAAAACTACAAATCCACAAAACTCCTCAACTGTGATTTGAAGCCTTAAACGTCCCCTTACATTTCTGTCATTTCATTTCATCATTTCATTTCTAGGACACATAAAACCTTTTCCACACACAGTATCACATCTTTATTGTGGATTCTGTTTGTAGTGCCCCTAATGCTAACCCAAAGGAAGTAGTAGTAGGGCAACTAACATCTAGCTAGGTCCGAGGTGTGGTGCCTTTAATAGCTCAGGACGAGTTAGTATGGGGATCGAACAGTTGACAGTATTTATTGCCTCACCCAACAATATCAACAGCAATTTAGATGGAATGAAAATAAAATCTAAACTAAAATAGAGCTCTCTCAGTTGTATAGTAAAATAAAAGAAATAGTCCTTTAAGGAGTCTGATATTGAGTTCAGAGTTCAGGGTTCAGTTCCTGATCCTTGTACGTGTGTGCACTGAGTCTGCTACTACCCGGGTAGAGTTAATAGTGTGTACGCAGTCTTATCTGTTCCTGAATGGGTAAAGTTGTCTGTGTCTGGTCGTGCGGCGGTCCTCACTGCGTCCCCGACCCTCCACAGTCACTCTGGGCTCGCCATCATTGGATCCTCTAGATTCTTTCTGGTAGCTCAATAAACCAACCTGCACAAGTAGTGCGAGTATTAAGTTACTCTGTTCTGTTCTTATTTCTAACATGAGACCTCATTAACTTATTTTCTTAGTGCATCAATAACCAGTGACTAGAACATACTTTGTTGACAATGGAATGAATTACCACATGTAATAGCAACTGGTACTTTAAGCACCAACAAATCTTAATCATGAATTTCTATAAACCTCAACAATTGGCTCATGCGCGTAAAGCTGCATGCTGCCTGTTACTCCAGCCTTTGAGTCTGCTTTTTTAACTTCTTAACTTTTATTCTCTTTTTGTTCATTCTTATTTTTTCACTGTAACTCTATGAAGTCCTGCCCTCTCTAACGAGGTTGTTTGAGAGAGTTTTTGTGTTTTAATAACGCTTCCACCGGGACACGCTGCCGTTGTTTACTCCAGAGAACAGCTGAACGCACTTATGCCTGCGACCACTTTACACTTGCCATTTTTGCATATTTGAAAGTGGGACTTTAAATTATACTATATATATATATATATATATATATATATATATATATTCTGATTCTGAATTGGTATTTTAACATCTACAAATTAATTATTTACCATCACTTTCTATATGTGACATTGTTTTTAACTGTTTCCAGACATCATTTTTATATTTTAGACTTTAAATATGAAATTTAATTGGATCACTACTAATGTATTTATCATGTACATTTTAATAAGCAAAAGCAGCTCAAACACAGTGTAGTTGGGTTACAACTTATTAAAATGTATAACCAATTTAAAGCTGAATGATTTTAATATGAACACAATAAGTGCAATGCACCTTTAATATTTTTACTTACTTTTATTTTTACTTCACTTTATTTGCTAGTGATTAACATTACACCTTTTTTAAGAACAGTGATACAATATTCATTAAGACTAACATTTAGCCTTAGGTTAACCATTACCCAATTTTATAATTATTTTAAATTATGTTATATAAATCATCTTTACTATGTTCATATATTATTTTCCAGTGAATCCCTCACTTTCAACCTGTAGTTATCAGCTCATACTACAGTTTATATGACAGTACTTCTATCTGTTCTGTGCTGCTGTGAAGAATAAAACCTTCACTCTGCTGCCCTCTAGTGTCTGCAACAACACACTGCTTCAAACTGTACTGCTACTGTCACTACTACTACAACTGTTTCTACTATTAGTGCCTTCTGATGTTGTTGAATTCATCTCTAGTATTTTGTTTCTATTTTAGATGTTATTGTTCAATCACACAGTCATTGAGAGTTACTGTTGCTTGATCAAACTGGTGTTTATGTAGAGCAGGGCCAATGAGCAGCATCTCAGTTTTATCAGAATTTAGGAGCAGGAAATGATGTGACATGTATTTTAACACAGCAGGCAGCAGTCCTCTAATTTAATAAAAAAGAGGTAAAATGGTGCCCCGTGTGAGGCACAGTACTGGAGGCAATTATTCCTAATTGTGCAACATTAATATTTCAGCATATATTTTTGGCCAATATGCAAATTTTCGATTTCAGTCTAAAAATGTCCCAAAGTCTGTACATTCAGTACCACTAGTCTTCCACCGCAGTAGACATCCAGCTATACTTGCAAACAAGTACTTTATGGTGAAATAATTAGAGAATATTGATTTTAAGCCCTCATAGAGTTACCATAAGAGTTTGCTATTGCTGCTAGCTATTCCTAGCTAAACCTACACTGTAGTGTAGTAACAATTGGGTTCAGACATACTCAATGCAAACTAATTACATTTTCTCAGTTTGCTGTAAATTAGTAAATCATTAGTAAAGCAGTAGAGCCTGAAATAGAGCGGGTCGTCCACGAATTGGAAGGTTGTTGGTTCGATGCCTGGCTCCTCCGTTGCATGTCAAAGTGTCCTTGAGCAAGATACTGAATGAGTTAGTTTCTGTTCGATGGGCTTTGACATCACTGTGTGAATGTGTGTGAAAAGGGCCGAATGTGGCTGTAGTGGAAAAAGTGCTTTGAGTGGTCAGAAGACTAGAAAGGCGCTACACAAGTACAGTCCATTAACCTATTAGTATTTACCAGCCCTTTAGCAGCTATTTCACCTATGGACGATACACTCTAGCTCTCAGGATCACACATTGGGTTCACTCCTGAGAACAAAGCATCAGTGTTAAATGTGAAAACTGATTCACAACACAAGAGGGCGCCTTCATCCTGCTAACCAGGGATGTAGTGGAGGTTAAAGCACCTCAACTCACTCTGTCTACAGTTTTAGTTAAGAACATGTTTTCAGGCTGATAGAAACCTTTATAGTAAAAGTGCATTGTGTCATACATCATGGTAAATGGTGTCAGACCACTAACAGTATAGATACAATCTCTGTGTGACTATAAAGTGTCCATCAGTCATAGTTTCCGACATATTTCAACCTACTGACAGTTTCTACAGGGGATCCAGTGAAGGTCAAAGGTTGAAATCTATCAGGAGTGTCTTTGTGTTGCTGGATAAGAGAAGTTCTGTGGTTTCACTAATATTTACCACCACTGCTGCAGAGGAACTACATGATTAAAATGTGACCTTTTATAGAGTCCCCCTCACAGAGAAGAACAACTATTGTCGTATCTTCAGCACGCTGTGGGAAGTTTAAGTGTGAGTGTTGGATTTAAATTCATTGATTTATGAAGAAAACAACAAAGGTGATAAAATGGCTCTTTGTGATACACCTGTGTTTGACACCTTTCCAGACAGCTTTGGGTTGCCTCGTGAATTAAAAAAGCAAAAGTTATTGCCCTACTTAGTTACTTTAGTTTGGCCTACATTATTTCAATTTCAAATTAGTGAGATAGCGATAATATATCAATTTAAGAATGCTATGACAGTTTAGTTTGATAACTATCTATTTTCAGTCAACTGTTTTTAACCAGCATAAGAATTTGAGGAAGAAATATGAAGCCATTACGAAAGCCTGAGAAAAGTGTTTTACATTTAAAAACGTCTTCTCCTATTCCTGATTTCTACCACAGCAAGCTCAACTCTGACCATATATAGTATTTCCTTGTTACCTCCCTTCAAACTAGTTTCAATTCTGAGGAAGTGAAACTCACACAGACAGTCGTTGTCACTGAGAGGTGAAATGGCACAGAAAGGAGTTCAGCTTGACCGGGAAACCTTCTCTTGTTCGATCTGTCTGGATCTACTGAAGGATCCGGTGACTATTCCCTGTGGACACAGCTACTGCATGAACTGTATTAAAACCCACTGGGATAAAGAGGATGAAAGGAGAATCCACAGCTGCCCTCAGTGTAGGCAGACCTTCACACCGAGGCCTGTCCTGGTGAAAAACACCATGTTAGCAGATTTAGTGGAGGAACTGAAGAAGACAGAGCTCCATTCTGCTCCTGCTGATCTCTGCTATGCTGGACCTGAAGATGTGGCCTGTGATTTCTGCACTGGGAGAAAACTGAAAGCCATAAAGTCCTGTCTGGTCTGTTTGTCCTCTTATTGTGAGAAACACCTCCAGCCTCATTATGAATTATTTAAAAAACACAAGCTGGTGGACCCCTCCAAGAAGCTCCAGGAGAACATCTGCTCTCGTCATGACGAGGTGATGAAGATGTTCTGCCGTACTGATCAGCAGTGTATCTGTTATCTCTGTTTCATGGAAGAGCATAAAGGCCACGACACAGTCTCAGCTGCAGCAGAAAGGACTGAGAGGCAGAGAGAGCTCGAGGTGAGTCGACAAAACATCCAGCAGAGAATCCAGGACAGAGAGAAAGATGTGAAGGTGCTTCAATGGGAGGTGGAGGCTATCAATCACTCTGCTGATAAAGTGGTGAAGGACAGTAAGAAGATGTTCACTCAGCTGATCCGTCTCATGGAGAAAAGAAGCTCTGATGTGAAGCAGCAGGTCAGATCCCAGCAGGAAACTGAAGTGAGTCAAGTCAAAGAGCTTCAGGAGAAGCTGGAGCAGGAGATCACTGAGCTGAAGAGGAAAGACGCTGAGATGAAGAAGCTGTCACACACAGAGGACCACACCCAGTTTCTACACAACTACCCCTCACTGTCAGCACTCAGTGAATCTACATCCAGCATCAATATCTGTCCTCTGAGGTACTTTGAGGATGTGACAGCGGCTGTGTCAGAGCTCAGAGATAAACTACAGGACGTTCTGAGGGACAAATGGACAAACGTCTCACTGACAGTGACTGAAGTGGATGTTTTACTGCCACAACCAGAGCCCAAGACCAGAGATGGATTCCTAATATATTCACGTGAACTCACACTGGATCCAAACACAACAAACACACAGCTGTTATTATCAGAGGGGAACAGAAAAGCAACAGTAATGAGCCAAAAACAGTCTTATCCTAGTCATCCAGACAGATTCACTACTTGTTATCAGGTCCTGAGTAGAGAGAGTCTGACTGGACGTTGTTACTGGGAGGTGGAGTGGAGAGGGATAGGAGTTCATGTAGCAGTCACATACAAGAATATCAGCAGAACAGGGAGCTTGAATAAATGTATCTTTGGACTCAATGACAAATCTTGGGCATTATATTGTGACAATAACAGTTACATATTTTGGTTTAACAATGTCAAAACTCCTTTCTCAGGTCCTCTGTCCTCCAGAGTTGGAGTGTATCTGGATCACAGTGCAGGTATTCTGTCCTTCTACAGCGTCTCTGAAACCATGACTCTCCTCCACAGAGTCCAGACCACATTCACTCTGCCTCTTCATGCTGGACTTCGGTTTTATTGTGTTGATGGAGACACTGCTGAGTTCTGTAAACTTAAATAGACAGAAGTCATTTAAGGGACAGTGGATTGAATTCTTGAACTTAATTTTTCTTTATGTTTGTGGCTGGGAGCTGATTGTTGTGGCATTTAATTACTGCACAGAGATCACCTGTAAATCAAACATTATCGGTGGCTTCTCATTTTCACAACATGAAACTATAAAACTGACATTTTTTAAACTATTGTGTAGTCTATGTTACCCTGTATCATTAAGAGTAAGAACAGCTTTCAGTGTTTAGATGCTGTGACCCTTACTGCTGTTTAGTAATATTTAATAATTAGTTGTGTACAAAGTCTGTAAGTATGAACACAGTATGTAAGATAATAGTATTGTCAGTAAGTGTTTCATTATTATTTGGAAAAAGTGTCAAGAAGATTTGAATATGTTCATTCTCAAAGCTACAGATAAATTGGCTAAAGCAACATATTGACCACTGTTAGTTTACCACAGATAAATTGGTATCATGTATATGTCACTGATAGTAGAACAATGCCACAGAGTTGTTATATATCCTTGTGTAGTGGTGTTTGTTTATGTGTAACTTTTATTTGTAACGCCAAATCACACACTGTAAAACAGCACGTTAATATAAAAAGTAGATTTAATCCTCCAAAAAATGTGGAGTCACTCAACCCTATGTATTAAACCTAACTCAAAAACTCATTGTTGTAATAACTCAGTTATTTTTTAAAAGTTGATGTTAAATAATTAATTCTTACAATGTAGAACTTGATAAGTTAGCTCAACTCTTTTTGAGGAAACCATGGCAACAAAGAAACAAGGAAATACTGTATATGGACAGAGTTGAGCTCGCTGTGTTTGAAAGCAGGAAGATGGAGGAGGAGTTATCAAGCGTTGATTCAGTCCAGAGAGAGGAGCAGCGCTGTGAATCTGAACTTTTCTTCCTCATTTACAATGAAGCTTCAGTTAAAACATCCTCCTTGTAAAAGCTGAGTCACATACTGATTGATTGAATGCCCATCCTGAAGAGATCAGGCCATCATCTAAACCAGCTGCTATGACAGAACTTACGGTCACTGAACCTCCTTTGAAGTTGATGTTCAGAAAAGCTGTGCCAATATTATAGGTTTTACAGTAATAGATCCCTCGTGGATGCTGTGAAAATGTAAACAATGCTTAGTTTGTGAGAGATGTTACATTAGATTTTCTTGAACGGCGTTGGTTCTCTTGCTTTGAAGCGATCCAGGTGAAGTTTAGTGCCGGTAGAGTTGTGATGACCTGAGACGAGGCCCTGTTCTTCCTGACTGAACTTACGCTGAGCTTCATTTTTAGTACCACAGTTACCATGAATATCTTAATATATTCCAAAATATCTAATGTATCATTTTAACTAAATAACAACATTACATTTGAATTATATTTTTTAACAAAGCTATCACATGACATTTAAACGATGAAATGTATTTTTAACTTCTTAACTTATTCACTCAAAATGAGTTTCTGTCAGACGTCAAGCTTCTTTCCTCCATGAGACGAACTCAGACTAGTCTCCAAGGTCCTCCGACTACAAGTGGGTCCTGTTTTTTTAGTATGAAAAGAGAGAGAGTATGTTTGAAAGCTGTTATAGCAGATTCTGTGCAGACTTGACTGCTTTGTCCCAGACTCTGAAAATTATGACAAAAGTCTTCTGTGATCTGAACTGGTCTGAACTCTCTGTACTGTTAAATTTGGGGTTTGTATATACAAATTAAACTGAGTTCCTCAAAACATAGACATATTAGACACATATTATGCCCCTTTTCAGGTTCATAATTGTATTACGTGGCTCTACTACAATAGGTTTAGATGTTTTAATGTTCAAACACACTATTTTTCTCATACTGCCTATAGCTGAGCAGCTCTTTTCAGCCTCTGTCTGTAGACAAATTGAACTGAGTTCCTCAAAACCTTAAACACTGCTAAGCTGAATGTCAGGCAGGTGGTAAAACAGACAGAGGGTCATTACAACAAGAACAAGCTGGGAAAATGTTAACAAAGCTGCACTGAGCAACAGAGAGAGTCAGCAGTCCACTATCTACACTGAGGCTAATGAGTAACAGGGAGCAGCTGAGCTGGCAGGTAACAAGGTCATGTGTACAGGTGAAACCTAAGAAAGCACATTTACTCAAGCACTGTACTTAAGTAGGTTTCAGGTACTCGAACTTTACTTGAGTATGACCATTTTCTACTACTACTCCACTTTTTATTCCATTACATTTATCTGACAGTGATAGCTACTGTTGACATTAAGATTTAACACATTACTGAATATTAAGGTGAGAAATAACAACAACAACATTTGGCCCCCCAAACAAATAAATGTAAATGTAATTACACATTTATTTACAAATGTACAAAGTGAGAACAAAATATGTACAATACAGGAAGGTATGGCGCATTCTCTCTTAAGATCTATACAGTGGAAGAGAAACAACAACACACAAATACATCAGTACAAATACCCAACAAGATTGGGTTTCCATTTACACGCAGAGAAATATCAGTTCAGGTAAACAACAGTCATCATGAGCAGTGATAGCCTCCATGGCTAAACAGAACAACTAATGAGAAGATGTCAAAGTACCGCCCACAGTGTTTGATTGACAGGTGATCTCTGTGCAGTGAGGAACACCACAACAATCAGCTCTCAGCAACAAACATGAAGACAAAAGCAGTTCATGGATTCAAACTCAGAATTTAACCCACAGTCCCTTAAATGTCCAGTGTGTAAAATGTAGTGGTCTTTTCGCAGTGCAGTTGCAGATTGAAACTCCTTCGCTTCACCCTCCCCTTCAGAATCAGAATCAGAATTAGGTTTATTGCCAAGTAAGTTTTTACACCTACGAGGAATTTGTCTTAGTGCATTGGTGCATAAACTATACAAATATACAAATCACACAAAAATCACACAAAAGTCTAAAAATCGAAATAAATAAAGATAAGAAAACTGTACAGAAAACAGGAGTGCATTAATGTAATGCATACTGTATATACAGGCTGGGTTTAAGAGTCAGTGTCAGTGGTGGATCCGGGCCTTGGTAATGAGGCCAGCTGCAGACGGAAAGAAACTGTTTTTGTGATGTGAGGTTTTGGTCCTGATGGACCGCAGCCTCCTGCCAGAGGGAAGTGTTTCAAAGAGTTTGTGTCTGAGAGGACTGAGAGTCAGAGACATTTTCCCCAAGCTTTACATGCTGCAGGAAGTCTGTGATCCACCTGCAGGTGGAGTCAGGCACAGAGAGCTGGGAGAGCTTGTCCTGTAACAGAGCGAGGATGATGGTATTAAAAGCAGAATTGAAGTCCACAAACAGGAAGCACAAAGAGGAAATTATGGTGGTTTTTCAGGTGATTATATATGAATGAAAACATACCTATGAATATCATGTTCCATTTCTGCTAATACATCCTCCAACACTGGACCTGTAAATTACTTCTGCCTATTTGAGTTTACATAACTCAGCTGTGTCTCCAAAAGAACAGTAATAAAACCGAAGTCCAGCATAGAGAGGCTGAGTGACTGCGGTCTGGACTCTGTGGAGGAGAGTCATGGTTTCAGAGATGCTGAAGAAGGACAGAATACCTGCACTGTGATCCAGATACACTCCAACTCTAGAGGACTGAGGACCTGAGACAGGAATGTTCACATCGTTGAACCAAAAGTTACAACTGTTTTTACGACATGTTAACGCCCAAGATTTATCATTGAGTCCAAATCCACTTTCACTACACCAATCTGCTCTCCTAATAGCCTTGTATGCGACTGCTGCTTCAGCTATTTCCCCCTTCCACTCCACCTCCCAGTAACAACGTCCAGTCAGACTCTCTCTACTGAGGACCTGAAACCAATCAGTGAATCTGTCTGGGTGACTAGAATAAGACTGTTCTTCCCTCATTACTGTTGCTTTCCTGTTCCCTTCTGATAATAACAGCTGTGTGTGTGCTGTGTTTTGATCCAGTGTGATTTGACGTGAATACTGTAAGAATCCAGCTCTGGTCTTGGGCTCTGGTTGTGGCAGTAAAACATCCACTTCAGTCACTGTCAGTGAGACGTTTGTCCATTTCTTCCGTGTCTGGAATTGAATGTATTCTTGAGTCTATAAGGTAACAATAATATAATAATAAGTTAACCTTGTTTGACTTGTGAAATGGTTGACTTAAAGAAAATGTTGGTTTTGTCTATACTATACTAGGTACTTGTACTATATTAACTGGGTTAAATATAATTGCATTACTAAAAAGAGACTAAAATACAATTTTCATTGACTAAAACTAGACTGAAATAGTCATGGATAATTCTGACTAAAAAAAGACTAAAATGCTCAGACTTTTAGTTGACTGAAACTTGACTAGACTTAAAAGAGTATAAATGTGACTCAAACTAATAAAAACTAAAATGACAGTTTGACACAAAGACTAGACTAAAACTAAAATGAAAACAGGTCGCCAATCTGCACTTTGTTTCTTCATATAGAGTGATGCCTCAGTTAAAACCTGATCCGCAACCTTTGACCTTCACTGGATCCCCTGTACAAACTGTCAGTAGGTTGAAATATGTTGGAAACTATGACTGATGGACACTTTATATTCACAGAGAGATTGTATCTATACTGTTAGTGGTCTGACACCATTTACCATGATGTATGACACAATGCACTTTTACTATAAGTGTCTATCAGCCTGAAAACATGTTCTTAACTAAAACTGTAGACAAAGTGAGTTGAGGTGCTTTAACCTCCACTACATCCCTGGTTAGCAGGATGAAGGCGCCCTCTTGTGTTGTGAATCAGTTTTCACATTCAACACTGATGCTGCATTCAGGGCATGTCGGAAAGATAGTAGAAAAGAGCTTCGACTTTACAGGTTGTAAAATGTTGTAAACAGCATTTGGGAATGGGAGATTTTGGACTTGAGGTTAAAATCCCCCTGACTTCTTGAATTCTGATTATAGAACATGAAAATATGTATATAACCAAATATAAAAAATAATATATTCATTTCATGATTTTTTGGGAGGAACTGACGTAGGCTGCACATTTTCCATTTGTTGTTGAAACTAAAATATTTGACCTTTTAAAACCTGAGCTTCTCTCTGGTTGAGTGTCAACTAAGGAAACGTCTTTGGAACATCATAAATCTCCACTAACCATAAATGATTGTGTATTAATGATTTAAAATGAGACTGAAAATGTTATTGGTTTCACTTGTTAATTCCTGCTGATTCTTATTGAACTGAAAGCTACATTTCATATGTATATTGTCATGATTATAACATCATTCCTTTAGTCCTTCTGTACTGTAAAAGGTGAATGAAAGCTGGTGAAAGTGGAAAGGACAGAGACTGACTGACAAATGCTCTCCTGCTCTGAACATGAACTCTGAACTTTGTGGTGTTTCAGGAGGAAAACTGCCTCAGTTATACTCTCAGATTAGTTTCACAGTTTCTCCATCAGCTTTGTATGAGACCCTTGAATGAAGACAAGAAGAAAATACTTTGTTCATGTTTGTTTATTCATGATGTAAAGCTTCAGTTTGTTCACACATGCCATCAGTAAAGTCTGTTCAGTGACTCTTGTTCAATGAGTTCATGTACAGATTCACTTCATCCACACAATCAGTTTGTTGGAGCAGAATCTCAGCTATGTACAAGGAAATAATGAAAGAGTTACTCATTAATTATGATAATTACATTTTTATAATCCCTCATAGTTCCCCATTTCTATATTGATTTGGATAACAACAACATTTAGTCTGACAAAGAAATACATGTAAATGTAATTCTGTAATTGTATGTAATGTAAAGATTTCTTTACACATTTTCAGAGTGAGAACAAAATATCTATGATAAAGGAAGGTCTGGTGCTTTCTGTTTTAACACTTGTGCATGAAAGAGAAACAACATACAAATACACCTTTTGAGCTCAGAAGAGTTTACATTTTCATGCAGAGAAATATCAGTTCAGGTAAACAACAGTCATCATGAGCAGTGATAGCCTCCATGGCTAAACAGACACAGGAAGGAGAGCCACCTAAAGACACTCAAACATTTACAGAACAACTAATGAGAAGATGTCAAAGTACCGCCCACAATGTTTGATTAACAGGTGATCTCTGTGCAGTGAAGAAACACCACAGCAATCAGCTCTCAAAAACAAACATTAAGACAAAAGAAGAATTAAAAATCGAAGAATTAAAAATCAGTATTTCCTGTTTGCTGGAAATGTATTTGTATTTGAATACCTTCTGATTCCGACTCCGGTCGTGGGCCTTGAATACGATGAGACTCCAACTACGGTCGTGGGCACTGAATATGATGCGCCTCCAACTCCGGTCGTCGGCACTGAATACGATGCAACTCCAGCTCCGGTCGTGCGCCTTGAATACGATGAGACTCCAACTACGGTCGTCGGCCTTGAATATGATGAGACTCCAACTACGCTCGTGGGCACTGAATACGATGAGACTCCAACTACGCTCGTGGGCACTGAATACGATGAGACTCCAACTCCGGTCGTGGGCCTTGAACACGATGCGCCTCCAACTCCGGTCGTGGGCCTTGAACACGATGCGCCTCCAACTCCGGTCGTGGGCCTTGAACACGATGCGCCTCCAACTCCGGTCGTGGACCTTGAACACGATGCGACTCCAACTCCGGTCGTGGGCCTTGAACACGATGCGACTCCAACTCCGGTCGTGGACCTTGAACACGATGCGACTCCAACTCCGGTCGTGGGCACTGAATACGTTGTGACTCCAGCTCTGATCTTGGGCTCTGGTTGTGGCAGTAAAACATCCACTTCAGTCACTGTCAGTGAGACGTTTGTCCATTTCAGAACGTCCTGTAGTTTATCTCTGAGCTCTGAAACAGCCACTGTCACATCCTCAAAGTACCTCAGAGGACGAATATTGATGCTGGATGTAGATTCACTGAGTGCTGACAGTGAGGGGTAGTTGTGTAGAAACTGGTTGTGGTCCTCTGTGTGTGACAGCTTCTTCATCTCAGCGTCTTTCCTCTTCAGCTCAGTGATCTCCTGCTCCAGCTTCTCCTGAAGCTCTTTGACTCGACTCACTTCAGTTTCCTGCTGGGATCTGACCTGCTGCTTCACATCAGAGCTTCTTTTCTCCATGAGACGGATCAACTCAGTGAAGATCTTCTCACTGTCCTCCACTGCTTTATCAGCAGAGCTATTGATAGCCTCCACCTGCTGTTGAAGCTCCTTCACATCTTTCTCTCTGTCCTGGATTCTCTGCTGGATGTTTTGTCGACTCACCTCGAGCTCTCTCTGCCTCTCAGTCCTTTCTGCTGCAGCTGAGACTGTGTCGTGGCCTTTATGTTCATCCACAGAGCAGAGATAACAGATACACTGCTGATCGGTACGGCAGAACATCTTCATCACCTCATCGTGACGAGAGCAGATGTTCTCCTGGAGCTTCTTGGAGGGATCCACCAGCTTGTGTTTCTTAAAGGTAGGTGATTCAAAGTGAGCCTGCAGGTGTGTCTCACAGTAAGAGGCCAAACAGACCAGACAGGACTTGATGGCTTTCAGTTTTTTTTCAGTGCAGAAATGACAGGCCACATCTTCAGGTCCAGCATAGCAGTGATCAACAGGAGCAGCTTGGAGTCCAGTCTTCTTCAGCTCCTCCACTAAATCTGCTAACATGGTGTTTTTCATCAGGACAGGTCTCGGTGTGAAGGTCTGCCTACACTGAGGGCAGCTGTGGATATGCATCTGATCCTCTACCTCCCAGCAGGTTTTAATACAGTTCATGCAGTAGCTGTGTCCACAGGGAATAGTCACCGGATCCTTCAGTAGATCCAGACAGATCGAACAGCAGAATCTTTCTCGGTCCAGTTGATTTCCACGTTGTGCCATTTCATCCGTCAGTGATAGTGACTGTGAAATAATTTCTCTGAACAGAAACAATCTCTGTGCTCTGACAGACAAAAACAATCGCTCCTTCTCCTCTCCTTTATACGCTGTAGTAAATGAAGTTAGTTAGCTCCGGCATTTCAAACTGTGTTGTTTACACCCATCCTCTGTCCTTATAACTGCAGTTTTGTGAAGGGGAGGGAGCAAAGAAATATTTTTGATTGGGTAGAGCTTGAGCTGTTTCAGGAAGGAGGAAGAGTTTTCAGGCTTTACTGCATTCCACAAGTACATTTCTGGGAGAGGTAGATTTGTCTTTTGCATTTATAGTTTCACTTAGAAATCTCACATTCAGCTCACAACATATTTTATTGTTATTGTTGTGTTAATATTTTATTCAAGAAGAATAAAAAATAATGCTTAATATTTTTCAATTGATTATTTGGTTTTGTGATCTTTGTTTCCCTTCCTTACGGCCTGGTGAAAAACCTTCATTTCCATTAAGAGGTGTTAATAAGAAAATAAACATACGAACTAGGTTGGACTATAATCCCCTCCAGTCATAAATCAGTTTTTAATGTTTCTACAGTGTGATGTTTGAAAAACTATGGTGGCCGCAAACCAGCCCTAAATAGAGTCAGTGTTTCGTCTGTCTGTTCTATGCTACTGTAGAAAAATGGCGGATTCAACATGGTGATCTGCCACATCTGCAGATAAAAATGTCTCATTGTAATGTAGCAAAAACACAACCATTTTTATGTACAGGTGATCACACTAATGTAAACATACTTATGAATATATGAATATGAATATTTTCCATTTCTGCTAATAGAGCCTCCAAAATGTTACACATTGAAATTTAAAGTCATTTTTTCAGTCCATCTGTCATCATATGTGTCGCAGGGTTAAATTGCTGGAGACATATGGATGATAAAAATTAATGCAGATGCTTCCACAGAGTTACACTGTATGGTACAATTAGGTAAATACGTCACTGAAGGTCTGAGACGTGTAAAACTGCTGAGGAGGCCCAGTTGATTCTGGCTTTGGATCAAGATGGCAAGAGGAAAAGATTTAAGTGAGTTTGAAATCTCTACTCCTTCTGCTCTTGTTCACTTGCTGCATTGAATGAGGTTAATCAGCTCCTGCATTTCACACTGTGTTGTTTACACCTGCAGATATGCGAGGGGGAGGGAACATAGACATATTTTAATAAGGCAGAGTTTGTTCTGTTTCAGGAGAAAGAGTTTTCAGGCTTTACTGCATTCCACTAGAGTACATTTCTCGGAGAGGTAGGGTTTGTTCATGTCCATTAATAGTTTCACTTAGAAATCTGACACTCAGCTCACAACTGACTTTAATAGTATTCATACTTAATATTAGTTAGTAAATAGTTCTTAAGAAGGACAGAAAGACAGAAAGAAAGAAGAAAATACGTGTAATCCACCTCTTCCACCTCTTCGGCATCATCTGCATTGAGTTGGAGCATGTGCAGCCTCTCTTTCCAACCTCTAGTTTACCTCAACAAGTGTCCTTCTCTCTCCCATGAAGACAACACTGACTCTGTCATCCAGTGAGGCTGAAGAATTGCTATGCTGACATTAGACACTACATATGTGAAATAAATGTAATATCAGGGCATTTACATTCCCTACATATAATAGATTGTTTAATACCAAATGGGCACGTCCCTCCCGTTAGAACAAACTCCAGTAAACCAAACCCAGTTGGATTGTGTAGCTCTTTACTGGAACATAAGTGTTTTTGTTGTACACTGTGAACTATATCAGAAGTGAATTTTCACAGAAACAAAAAAATATTGAATATTGAAATGACAACAAGTCCATCAAATCCTTACATTGTTGTAGAGGAAAACCCTGAACCTGAACTTTTCAGTACAGTTAAGTAATTACCGTCATTGAAGCCCTGAGACAGGTGTAAAACTGCTGAGGATGCCCAGCTGATTCTGGCTTTGGATCAAGATGGCAAGAGTTTCAGGAAGGAGGAAGTGTTTTCAGGCTTTACTGCATTCCACAAAGAGTAGATTTTTGGGAGAGATAGGGTTTGTTATTGTACATTAATAGTTTGACTTCTCTGACACTAATGTTAGTCATTAAGTTTTTCTTGTTGTTCCTACAGTGTGGTATTTGACGTTCATTGTGCAGAATGATGTCGGTTATGTGCAGAGTTTCACACTAGAAGGATGTTTTCAAATTCATCTGCTGCTGTGGCAACGGCTGTACATTTTTGTTTTAATCTGTATTTGTTTGGCTTTATTTCTGAAAGCATCATTGAATGATGTCTGACTGGGTCGAATCTTTTTTGGGGGCTTTTATTCCCTTTATAATAGTGACAGCTGAAGACAGACAGGAAAGGTGGGCAGAGAGAGGGGATGACACGCAGCAAAGGGCCACAGGTCAGATTCAAAGCAAGCAGGGGGGCAAAGGCTGCCCTAGGCCCACGGTCCTCTACAGTTACAAAGGGGCCCATCTTTGGCCCAATCTTTCTGACTGAACATGCATTTTTGTTTTTTAGTTGAATATTTTGAATACAAATTGTTTGTGTGTCTTGAGGGGTTAGCCAGAACCAGCCTGGTTTGCTACTGTGACTGTTTGTTTGCCTGGCCTGCCAATGTTGCCTGTTTATATTGACGCTGAATCCACCCCCTTAGTACCCTGACAAAAGGCCCCACCAGCCACTCTGAATCAATTTGGATGTGCGAAGGCATTGTTACGGCCGCCGCTGGCTGTCATTTAGTGTATATTCATTGTGGTGTTCCATGTATGATTCCCTGTTGAGGATTGGTCCTTCTGGAGCAGAGACCGCCTACTTCCTGGTTGCTGTCCCCTGGCATCTGTGATTGGTGTGGCTGCGATACCACTGAAGCTACCAATCATGAGTCTTCAATCAACCCCAGCTGCACTTAAATAGCTTGTGTGTCCACAGTTCAGGGCGGCTGTGAACTAGTGATCAGTCCGCCTCGCTGTTGGTTGCACACCATTGTGTTAGTTTAGAGTGTCTGTACTTTTTAGTGTTGCCTGGCTGTTATCTGAGTGGATTCAGCCAGTGCCTTTGTAATCTTTGTGACCTTTTAAGTTGCTCAATAATTGCTAGTTTGTTTTTTGTTCACTAGTTTGTAAGCTTATGGGGTGCTGATCTCTTTTTGTTCTTTAGTGTGATTCAGTCATTTTCATTTTGTGTACTAGTTATTTGTCAGCACCTGTATAGCCTCTCCTTTGTTATATTTCATTGTGCAAGCCCACTCTCCTTAGTTAATTAAAACACCTGATTTAAACCTGAACCTGTCAATTGTCGCATTCCATCTCTTTTCCAATTCCAATTGTATGTTACTGCTCTCCAAATCGAGCCGGGTCGTAACACTGGGAGATTTTAAAGCTTTTGCTGTATTTCTGTTTAACTTGCTGTATTTTGTTCCAATAAAAGTGTGAAAAAGTCCAGAGAGCAGAGGAAGAATCTCCCTCACAAACTTCTTCTCACTCAACAACTCAACCCTCCATGTCTGACAGAGTCCTGCTGTTAGCTCTACGAACCAAACTGGTGAAATTGTTTACTTGGAGCAGCAGCTAGCTCCATGCAGGTAGCTGGAAGCAACCATGATGAAGACGATGGTGGTGGAGTTTGTAGTGTTCAATGTTGGAGTGAAATTTCATATGGACTACAGTGGATTCATCTCATCTTCACTGGATTGGATTCAAGCTGACAGCTGCTGGAGGAAAACATCAGTGGGAAGTTGTTTCATATCCAATATTTGTGATGACATGTAGATGCTGACTATCTGACCTTTTTTAAAAATGGCGTTGTCTGTTGCTGCTTCTGTTGTTGATGCTATTGTAGTAGCCTAATGGATGGACACACATTGCTTGCAGACTTTTAACATAATTTGTAATGTGTGGGGGTTATTATGTGGCTGTATGGGCATCCAGCATCACTGAATGTCAAATGCTGAATGCTCACTAGTCAATCTTCTTTTTTGTGGTTTTTTTGAGGTTGTGTCCACTGGTAGACTGTTAAGGTCTGTTTGGTTGCACGCTGATGACAGCTACATTAGCAGTCAGAGTTGAGGTAGGTAGAGCAGCCTGAGGACGTCAGTGGGAAAACCAGACGATATTTCCTTCATAAAATATGATCTGACCTGCTGCTTCACATCGGAGCTTCTTTTCTGGATGAGACGGATCAGCTGAGTGAAGATCTTCTCACTGTCCTCCACTGCTTTATCAGCAGAGCGACTGATAGCCTCCACCTCACGCTCCTCTACAGCTACAAAGGGACCCATCTTTGGCCCAATCTTTCTGACTGAACATGCATTTTTGTTGTTTAGTTGAATATTTTGAATACAAATTGTTTGTGTGTCTTGAGGGGTTAGCCAGAACCAGCCTGGTTTGCCACTGTGGCAGCTACATTAGGACTCAGCTAACAGCAGCTACATTAGCAGTAAGAGTTAAGGTAGGTAGAGCAGCCGGAGGACGTCAGTGGGAAAACCAGACGATATTTCCTTCATAAAATATGATGCAGTTTCACCCAAATCACTGATGAAGTTGTGTTTCTGTACAGTAATCAGTGAGCTCTGGCCCTCCAGAAACAATCTGCTCCGGTAGAGTTTGCTCTCTTTTAGGAGAAAGAGTTTTCAGGCTTTACTGCATTCTACAAAAGTACATTTCTGGGAGAGGTAGGGTTTCTTATTGTGCATTACATAGTTCTTAAGAAGGATTGAAAATAATGCTTCATTTTTGAAATTCATTATTCACTTTTGGTGATTAGAGTCATCTGGATACCCTTGCACTTCCTCTGACTAACCACAGGGTGGTGGTGTTTCTCTCTGATGTTTAATGTCAGCACCAGCAGCAAACACAGAAATCCACCATATGATAAACTTTAGTTTCCAATCTGTCACACAGCCATGGTGGAAGAGCTTATTTATTGGTGTGACACCTATCTAACACCGTACAGAGACATGTAATGTCACACAGGTCTCGTCTGGTGAGACAGTTGCAATATGTTGAAAATGATCAAACTGTTCAGGGTTATAACATACATGATAGAAAAACCATCTCTTAATTTGATATTAAATATATCATAAATGTACCTTTATTATTATTTTTTGATATTATTGATTGCTGACTCA